GAATCATTTTGATTGGTTTTTAACTGTGTCAATATGTTTCTATTTTTGTGTGTATAATGTATAGCATAGTTGGCTGTTGATGTGTGAAAGGGGGTGGGGGGGGGGGGGGGGGGGGGGGGGGGGGGGGGGGGGGGGCTTGTGAAATCCATAAAAATTGCTCTGATCTGTTCTTCAGAAATGTGTGAGAGGATGACTCGTGTTTTTGTAAGGACTCAGACTTTGAGGTTCATTGTCTTAAGAGAATCGTACTAAAGACCGAGAGCACATGATAGATCCCACATAGCGTAAAAAAACACATTCCGTTAGATACACGATTCTTATTCACAAAAAGTTGATACCGTAGGAGGACCCTCGGCAAAGGCAGACACGCATTTAGCTTAGTTTTAAATTAGAACTCCATGGGTGTGATGTGGTCGGAGCTGGGTGCAGACACTCACAAAGAATGAATGTTGGATTGTATAGAATGAGTGCACGAATGAAGTGTTTAAGTACCGTACTGGTATTTATAACGATGAATGAATGTGTGTGGTGTTCATACATTGAATGTGGCATTAATTCATTAAGTCTTAGCATTAAAAAAAAAAAAAGAGAGAGACTGTGCTTGGTGTGTACACAATGCATTTAATGTGTAGACAGTGAATGTGGTGTGTATCAATGGCGTGGCAAGGTCAAGGGTTATTTGTGTCTAGGGCGGGCCGAGAACTAGCTGTCCACGTCCACGGAAGATTTACATTTAGCTAAAAATGCCGCCCCCTCCATATAAATCTAAAGAAAACAAAGTTTGCGCTCCCTCCGCACCCACTTCCTGCGCCAAGGGTGCGCATGCTATAAATGCTGTAAGGAAACCATGAATGAATGTTGTGTGTAGACCGATACAATGAATGTAGATTGTATACAATGTGTGTGTTACGTTAAGAATGAATGAAGAACGTGTATACAATGTATGTGTTACGTAAAGAATGAATGAAGAAAGTTTATGCAATGAATGAATGTTTTATATTTATAAAATGAATGTAGATTGTATACAATGAATGTGTTACAGATACAATAAATGAATGTTGTCTGTATGCAATGAATGTGTTATGGAGACAATTAACGAACGTGGCATGTTCTGCACTCAGTGGATGTGGTGTGTGCACAGCTTATGTGTCGTGTACACAACGAATGTCGTACGGACTGTGCTAAATGGATGTGGCGTGCACACAATTACTCAATGGCTGCGAACACATGGATGCACAACAAAGGAAGAAGGAGAACTATTTAACAGCGACTGGGAAAACGGCGCGACATGGGGCGGGGGGGAGGGGGGGATCCAGTAAACAATCACATGGTAGGATAATGGCAAAGGCGCATTCAATTTAAAGAATACTTATGGACTTACAGTTACCGTAGATAACAGGAGAAAAACCTAATGTAATGTGGGAGGGGGGAGGGGGGGGATCCAGTAAACAATCACATGGTAGGATAATGGCAAAGGCGCATTCAATTTAAAGAATACTTATGGACTTACAGTTACCGTAGATAACAGGAGAAAAACCTAATGTAATGTGGGAGGGGGGGGGGGTAACTATCACGGATAGCTCTTTTGTGCGTGTGCGTATAAAGAAAAGGGGGGGGGGGTAATCCTTTTTACAAGTCTACGAAAAGTGCTTTAGACGGGAATTTTGGAAGAGATAAAATCGTCACTCAAAGTTACCTTGTTCTATATTTTTTAAAATTATTTTATTTGTGGGTGATGCGATTCTAAGACGACGTCGTTAGTAATTGCAGAGGTGGAGTAGACGATTTGCCTGCTTTGAAATCAAGACTTGACAACGATTTCTACTTGATGTTCAATAGCGAAGATCCATTCGAAAAGAGCCATTAAAAAAAAAAAAAAAATCACCAGCAGGACGATTAAAGAAAATTTGAGAGCCAAATTTATTTTCCAGAACTTGTCAAAAACCATGTTTTTCGGAGTCAAAACCGATTTGTGGCGGACTGGCCGAGCCGCACTCAGGTCGTTAAAGAGCCGCATACGGCTCGCGAGCCGCGATTCGCCGACCACCGACCTAGGCGATATGCTGCTGTGAGTAAGCAGGCGGCCTGTCGCTTGCCATCTTGTATGTTTTTTTTTTTCATCCTATAATGGTATTGGGAGGCAAGTATGTCTTTCCTTGATGTGCGCTATATTTGGGCGCGAGCGGTTTGCTTACTGACTGAAGAGTGCGCTCCAAAGGCGAGAATTTCTGGTTGATGGCCATGGATTTGAGGTACACTTTTAGACAATATTTAAAACATTTTTTTTTCTGCCTACCAGATGAAGTTTCTCGTTGTAAAGTTCATCGTACAGTAGTTTATATATCAGTGGTCAGTCAGCTGTCTGGCATTATCGAAACATGTCCAGCCCATCTGATTTGTCCTTTTTTTTTTTTTTGTAAGTACGCGTGTATGCTGGTAGCAGAGAAGGACATCCCAATGTAGGACTTCTGTATCAGGGACTGTTTCTTGCCACCGTATGGCAAGAAGCGTAAACAGAAACGGTGGAGATGGTCTAGTTGTCTAGCATGTCTGCTGCCCATGTCTCGTTGTCTAGCATGTCTGCTGTCCATGTCTGTTGTCAAAGTCTCGTTGTCTAGCATTTCTGTTATCCATGTCTGCTGATGGATAGGAGAGTTTGTTAATAGGACTACCCAATAAAGGCCTACCTTCAGTTAGGCGATAAGACTGGGGACTCCATCTCCCCAGACACTATTACGGTGTGTTCCGACTACGACAATTACTATGGAAATTTTGTTGTTAATCTCGTTATCTATCGTTACTGACAGCGAGAGGGTGCTGCCTAAATGCATGACTTTTTCCAGCTGCTTGGGTTATGTCCCTTCACTGCATTGTGGTGGTCTTTGTAAGAGATTCCTGGTGCTGACTGGTGAAAGATTATTTTTAATATATATATATATATATA